AATCGTTATTTTAACACCTCGATCACCAAGTGATCATCTTCAAGAGGAAGATAAAACTGAATATACTTACAATGTTATCCTTAATTATACCATAGATACCTCTTCTAGGAACTTGCTTGTCAAATGTCTAAAATCTTAAAACGACGAAAACCATGATAAATATATCTCAGTTCCATACCACCAATACACGAAGAACTTTGAAAATATTCTCAAGGAATTAGATATGAAGGTGGTTTTCGCAACAAGTCATACACTACAGAGCCTTTTAGGGAAATCCAAAAGACAAATTCGAGAATTCGGAAAAGTCTGGAATTCACGAAATTAAATGTGAGGACTACGATGCAAAATATTTTGGACAAACAAAAAGATCTATTAAAATAAGATATAAGGAACACTTAGCACACTAAAGATATGGAAAACCTGAAAAAACAAAACCATTCCATAGACTTCAGTTCGTTAAGATTATTTAGACAAGTTAACAACAACAGGCATCTAGATGCCTATGGGAGTGTAGAAATAACTAAACATAGTAATATTATGAACAACGTTGGTTGTGCAATACCTAATAGGATACTATATAGCTCGTTAAGATATCATTTCGATTATTAGATTTACCTGACTATTACATAAGGAAAGGTACATTGTAAAATTAATTTAAGACTAGTAGACAATATTGTTAAATTAATTTAAGGCACTCAAGACGCAGGTACCTAATTAAGGTATATATGGTATGAATAAGGATGACATTGTACGTATTTTTAGCTCAAGTTTCCTCTTGAAGATAATCACTTGGCGATCGAAACACGTTTCGGAGTGTTCAAATAACGGTTTGGTGTTGGGAAAAACTCCAGTAATATTCAAGAATCAATTTAAGTAATCTCCATTCCATGGCAAAGTCATGAAACACTCTACGACTGCATATTCCGAATTGACAGTCGGATCAATTTGAACAACTTTTTATTGAAAATCGCATAAAAATAGACAAATTTGTCTATATGCTACATTAGTTTCTTAGATGTCTTCTTTGGTTTTTATGAATAACTTGTGTTTATCTTTTTTTCAGGGATGCTGCTTCTTCTTTGAAACATCTTCCCTAGAATGCACCAGAATAGGAATGTTTTCCCACAATGATACTGCTAGTAACAGAACTTTCTATATTTGCGCATTTTATAATGGCAATTTTATATTGACCAACTTCACCTGCCCTATCAATAAAGGTTTCAAATATCATATGTACATATACATGATATATATATGTACAATTTGTTTGTCAATCTGCGTCAGTTCACTTGAGAATGGTTTAATAAACCGAAGTCGGATAAATAAAAATCTCAGTGGAAGTTAGACACAAATTATCTTCCCTACCCTGTATTTCAACCTCATTTCGAAATATTCCTGTTATAGTCATAGAAAAAGTATGGTATTGTACTCGAGAGAGATATGCAGTACTCGAATGATTTACGACAAACTTCATTCTTACGAGTTTATGACTACATTTCTCGCTCGTTGAATAATATACTTCACACCATTAGAAACTGGTGTGATAGTATAGACTGCTTTTTGAAAGCAGTCTATACTATCACACTAGAATTTTCAATTCCTAGTTTTGTGAGGATTTTTATTTTGCTATGGTGATCGAAAAGGACTACATCAAGCACATTACCTTGTATGAGCCTGAGGGTGAGGAACGAATGGCTCCAATAAATTCGACACTTCTCCTTCCCCACATTGGATTCAATATCCCCCGGAACGTAGCGCAACACCGGTGTCTTGTCAATACCGTAAAAGTGCCGTGGATGGTAATAAAGCACTCTTAGGGCCACGTTACGTCGATAGATATAGGCTGACACCGTATACGCTGGACATGCTGACAGGTGCAAGTGTGCAAGTGTGTCAGGATCCTCTATACCCATCACGCGACTGCGGTAGACGAAGACATTGAAGACACCACCCTGGCATTCCATGATGGATCTCTCAGTTTCCGACTTTGTTCCATTGCTTTTACCGGATTAGTCAAAAGGGGGATATGATTTTTCAGTTTTGTAGAGTTTTCTAATTTGAATTTCCCTTTCTGACAGGGTTTTTTTTATTTTCTCCTATTGGTCTTTGGAGTCCAATAATCCCTGGAATTATGAACACATTGAGAGGCTATGTACAAGGCGGATATCTAAAAGAGACTAGCGCTCATCCGTGGAATATACAGGGCGTTCCAAAACTACCAATCTACAGGGCGCTACAGAGAGACGGACCGAATTGGCGTGTGCCATATTCTTCGAGGAGCACGCAAGTTTGAATACTATTTTTTTATGATTGCTTATTGCTAAGATATCACGTTGCTTTGTGGCTAACTTTATACTTCATAATTGTTAGAGGTGTAAATGCATATAATTTGGTAATATCGCTATTCGTATCTGATTGCATATTTTTGAATAACTATATGGTATAACGCATGCGCCTGAGCTCAAGCAACGTTTATTAGCGGAACTGCCCCCCTCATTGGAAATGGTATTTATGCATTCTCCTCCCTTTTCTGCTTGATATTGATTTATTTATAGTTACCAAATACTTACTGTTACCTACTTAGTTTTGCTTATGGTATGACTAGAGATAGATAACGGTTTCTCACTTGCGTCATACGCTATATAATTGCTTGCTACTCTCATTTACATGCCAGTATATCAATTCGTTGAATTGAATAAGCTTATTGTTTTTTTTTGCTGAATATTCAATGCCTGCTTAGTAATTTAATACTTACGCTTCCAGTCCAGTGGTTAATTATTTTTTTCATAGGTTAATGTTTGAGGATCCTGTACTACATGAAAAACTATGATTATTGTTGTTAATAAATTGGTTTAGTAGTACGGTTTGTTGTTTCAATCAGAGTTGGTGAATTGTAAGATTGAGAAATGCGGGCAATGTTCCAACAAGAAGGAAAACCCCTTTTTTGTAAGACAGGTTCAAAAGTCTGCAAAATACTGCTGCGAGTTCATTTGCGCACTTTTTGAGTACGATGACGGACACTTCATCAGGCCCAGACGCCTTATTGATATTGAGCTGTTTCAAAATTCGCCTGACTAGACGCTGTCGAAAAGTAATTTCCGGCATTGTGGATTTTAGTGTGGGAAATCGACTGAGGAGTGGCACCCAAATTGTTCAGCTGGTAGATTTGCTATTTCTGTGGATGTTGTTGCAATTGAACCTTGCTTGTATTAGTGGAGAAATTGTGGATTTTGTTGACCAGAAAAATCTAGACCCTTTGGGATTGGCAAGCAGTTTTTCCGTAATTATCAGATGGTGAAGTTCTTTTTTTCATTGATCCTAAGTTTGCAGTTATTGCGAGCATCAACAAACCTAGTTCGGTGTTTGGCACTGGAAATGTTGCGCCACTGCCGGTAGGCGAGATTTTTGAAAGCGACAGCTTGCTCGCAATTTTTGTTGAACCAAGGTTTTCCGTTAGAAGGATGTTTTATTGAAAAATGAATAAATCCATCCATTGACGATAGAATAACTTCCGTGACTTCAGAAGCACAAGATGATGGACCTTTAGAGCTGAAACAAATATCTAGCCAGGGGAAATTTCGGAAAAGGTCTTGAAAATCCTTTTATTCAGCTGATCTGTAATGCCAAACTTTGCGCGGTTTCGATTTTTCCCCAACATTCATCGGAAATTCACTCAACACTGAAATGAATTTGTGGTCAGAAGATCCCAATGGAGACCTTACGGTGACTGTGTAAATTTCTGAATTGATTGTTAGGTATAGATCCAGAAGACTAGCATATTCTCCATCACAGTCAGGAATCCTGGTTGGCTCATTTATAATGTGAAAGTTCGCTGCTTGCTTATTGCAAAAGCCTCAGCTTCGCGACCTTGTTCGTCATTGATATTAGAAAATTTGAGCCATTCGATATTGTGGACATTGAAGTCACCGAATATGGAAATTTCGGCACTCGAATGATTGATTTGTAGAAAGTCAATGGTGGCAAGTGGAGAGAATAGTGCCTAAATTGTGTATCGCTAGGTGGTCGATGAACGCAGCATATGAAATTGGTAATCTTCTGTGATATTATTTTGAACCAGCATTTCCTCTTGTTGAAAACTAACGGAGTTTGTTGAAGCACTGACTTCGATTTCTGTGAGTGCAAGAATATGAGGACTATTTGATTGCAGATAGATGTTGATGCACTGAGTTTATATTTGAGTTCAATACTGTAATGTTGCAGAAGTCGATTTTGAAGTTGCTAGTGGGCCTCTTAGCAACTATAGTTACCATGCTATTTCCCTGTGGACTGATGTTAGGTATACCCTGCTGACTGTTAGAAATAGTGGTTTTCGAATAACTTCTGAGGGATGATGACCTTGAATCAGCTCCCACCCGGAGATCCGATTGGGGAGCTTTTTTACCTCCGGAGTATTTCGACCCTAAAAGCGCCATCATGCATTTTTCCTTATATTTCTTCCCTTGAAATCGGAAACAGCAACGAAACGTTAGCCCGAAAGCAACTTCACGCTACCTATACTACCTATAAATGCTTTCTTAATATTGTATTTTCTTTTCTCTGCTGTTCAGTGATGCATGTGTTTTCGTAGCATTAAATTTTTCTAGCTTTCTATTATTTCAAGTTGATTTTTGTTTGAAATCTTCATCTCTTGTTTTCGTCGAAGATGCAACAAGCTAGAGGATCATGACAATGAATATTTTCCTTTGAAAACATGGTAATTTTTCCTTCAAATTCGTGAATTTGAGTATTTTTCAAACTGCACAAAGTTAAATTGAAGGTACCATTATCGCAATACATTTTGCCTGGATACGGCTCACCCATCAATAAACATTTTGCGAATTGAAGTATTACTGTTATTACTTTATGGTTCTTCAAAATACTAATTAATAGTTGATTATTCGCGGCATAATAAACGCTAATCTTAATCCAAGCATATATACTGTTCGAAAGAATACTATTTGGGTTATATGGATTTGCGTATCATCTTTATTAAAAGAGGAGTCAAAGCAAGTGCATATTCATAATTGATCACGATGTCAAAGATATATCTTCTGATCCTGTTTTTGGTGAGTGTTTCAATCGTTTCGTTTTATACATTTATGTTGAAAGCTACTTTAACATACCATGATTGTGATATGTATAAAATATGGTTTACATACACAAGCATCGATGATTCTAGTAAGTGAAATATAGTGTTTCCATTTTCAAGAGAGTTCTTGGTATAAAGATAACTGTGAAATGTGGAAAAATGTAAAGTGAGTTCAACCAAGGAAAAAGTGCATCTATCAAAAATCTTTCGAAAGGTGAAAACATTCCCAAAATCAGTCCCTGTGTGTTTTTTTTTTCAATGAATTGAAAAAACGTATCATTGACAAAAGTTCATACTAAAAAATTCAATTCAATCAGGTGATTCTTCAGTTTCAGTTTCAACCTTCAGCCTTCAGTTTACAGAAAACAAACAATGTTGAAACTTTTCAATTCTAAAATTTTTCGGATGAAAGTAATTGAAATAAAGAAAATACAAATTTCACTTCTCAACTACTATTTCTCTAACTTATTGTTTGTTAGTGGTTTGGTGATTTTGAAGATCTGTATCACCATTAGTCGGAGCGATATATGTAACGAGAAATATGAATTTATAAATCAGAGATTTCTGTATTACAGAAAGTGGTTTTAGTGGATTTTATGTTAGCTTTTGTTGAGAAAGAAAAGCTCCTCACTGAGATCTTTATTATTATTATTATTTATTGTTTTTCACGGCTTGAAGTTTTGATTGTTCAGAATATTACTGGAGTTTTTTCCCAACACCACGGTTTGGTGTCTCAATGAACATGTCGAGAGTTGCTTCGTTTCTGATATATAGAGCGTTGAAGTTCGAAAAAAATAGTATTTATAAAATATCCTTACACCGATTCAATTGAACTTCGCTACAGTTATTTGAAGCGCTGAATAAGTGAGGCGCTTATTTAGCTAGTGGCGTTTCAGTGGACACCACAGCCAACAATATTGAGGAAGAAAACGTCACTACTTTTTTTTTTGTACTTTTATGATTAGGCAACTGAAACCCCATGTTTTTTGTCCACAAAGTAAATGAGCAAAATGTCCACCCTCTGATAAAATACACGATTGCAATCGATTTGTCATTGATTGTCTGACTCGATCGAAAATACCTGAAGTATTCCTTATGACATTGTAATTGGGAAAGAAAGTTTTTGGCTTTCTACTACTTCATCTTGATACAAAAAAAAGGGATGGGGGAATCTTCCAAAGAAAGGAAGGAAGTAATCAATTTGAAAATAAGTAACTCTATACATGGATGTGTAGATCATGCAAAGAAGTAACTTTCAGACACAAACTGAAAGAAAGTCCTCCTGAAACAGCTACTTTCATATAAATATTGAATTACACGAAAGAAAAAAAATCTTTCGAAACAAATACTTCTATATGAACACTGAACAAATAGGTGAATGAATGTCATTACGATGTCATCGATGACATAAGCAGATCAAGCTTATTCCGTGACATTAAAAAATCGTAATTCATGAATGATTTGTGTGTATTCTCTATAATGTTATCCAATTTGGTACTGAAAAGCCTTGGGGCAAGTGTCTTAAGGCGAAACATCGGTGTGTACCAGTGAGGGTGACAGTGTTCCATGTGAGTGCAATTTATTACCATTCATTCAAAGTAGAACTCATGTGAATGATATCTGATTTTAGTCCACAACGCATGTTTGAAATACAAACTGAGTAGAGGAAAGTATCTTCTGTATAATTCAGTCATATAGAAGTATTTGATTCGAAAGAATCTTTTTCTTTCGTGTAATTCAATGTTTATATGAAAGTAGCTGTTTCAGGAGGACTTTATCTCAGTTTGTGTCCGAAAGTTACTTCTTTGCATGATCTACACATCCATGTATAGAATTACTTATTTTCAAATTGATTATTTCCTTCCTTTCTTTGGAAGATTCCCTCATCCCTTTTTTTTGTATCAAGATGGAGTAGTAGAAAGCCAAAAACTTTCTTTCCCACAAATTAATCACTCCTAAAAATATAACCCCTTCAATTCAAATAAGATTTCTCTTGGCTGGGATTGAATCAAATAGGTGAATGAATGTCATTACGTTGTCATCGATAACATAAGCAGATCAAGCTTATTCCGTGACATTGAAAAATCGTAATTCATGAATGATTTGTGTGTATTTTCTATAATGTTATCCAGTTTGGTACTGAAGAGCCTTGGGGCAAGTGTCTTAAGGCGAAACATCGATGTATACCAGTGAGGATGACAGTGTTCCACGTGAGTGCAATTCATTAAAAAAAAATCTGTTCAAAATCTGTTTTTCCGGTAATCAGCTGCCGCCCCCATACGAACGACAATTCTCAGAAGTTGAGAAACTTGTGCGAGCTAAGGACTAACGAAGTCTTATCTTTTAACGTGTGATTCCCAACACGGTTGCAGAATCATTCCAGCTTCAACCAGATAAATTCTCTATAGAAAAATATCTGGTCGAGGCGGGAATCGAACACACGACCTTCCGATCGTGAGTCGGACGCACTACCACCGCGGCCAATTCCACAACCATTCATTCAAAGTAGAACTCATGTGAATGATATCTGATTTTTATTCCACAACGAATGTTTGAAATACAAACTGAGTAGAGTAAAGTATCTTCTGTATAATTCAGTCATATAGAAGTATTTGTTAAGAAAGAATTTTTTTTATATGAAAGTAGCTGTTTCAAGAGGACTTTCTCTCAGTTTGTGTCTGAAAGTTACTTCTTTGCATGATCCACACATCCATGTATAGAATTACTTATTTTCAAATTGAGTACTTCTTTCCTTTCTTTGAAAGATTCCCTCATCCTTTTTTTTTGTATCAAGATGGAGTAGTAGAAAGCCAAAAACTTTCTTTCTCAAAAATGAATCACTCCTAAAAATATAACCCCTTCAATTCACATTGTAATTGTTTTTATTCGATTTCTCAAGTCTAGTATAGGAGTTTTATAAACAAAAGTCTTCAGATGACCCTATAAATAGAAAAGAGGATTCCTATCAGGACTGCAAGCTGGCCAATTTTGCACGTTTAATCCAGGTGATGTCGAGATGTTGACGAGCGAGAACACTAAAATGAGCTAGAGCCTTATCGTTCATAAGCCACATGTTGCCTTTTGCAAGTACCTGTGAATCTTGCTGGTGGTGTTTGGTGACTACCTAATCGGTGCTGCCGATTAGGTAGTCACCAAACATTCAGCAAAAATTGTTGCTGAAAATGACTTGTTATAATTACATGAGGATTCCTGTCGGCCCAAAAATAGTCATTGTGAAAGTTCATAAAAGCATCTCGTGAAAAATTTGCTTCATCCGTGAATGAAATATCTGGTAAAAAATTATAATTGTGTGCCATCATATGAATCAATCAGCTGCAAAACAATAGTCTTAGGTGAAAATCCCGAAGCAGTGAAGCTTGTACCTGCTGTATGTGATTTGGTGAAGAAGGTTCCTTTTTAGAACTATCCACACGGTTTTTCAGCTGACTTCCATCTTTTTCTATCGCATCAAGTATAGCTTCTAGTTCAGAAGATGTTACAGTAGCTCACACCCTACATTTTCGTTTAAACTACCAGTTGCACATAATCTTCCATGTATCGTTGTAAATATTTCAGCACATGGAATTACTCTATTAAAATATCGGCCCTGGTTGATTATCCGTGCTTCTTCCACATTTCCATCTGCTAATCCATAAAAAAGTGCATGTCCGCCATTTTAGCGTTGGTAACATTTTCATTCATGATAGAATCACTACTGATTGACAACTCTGACTTTCACTGATATGACAACACTATCACTGTCAGCTGGTCTCCAAAGCAGGTGTTCAGGATATGCGAAGCGGCTTCAATATTTTTTTCTCGAAAACAAAGCTAGATATGGAGAAAACACAGGCGACGAAAAAGTTGTATTTTTAGTTGATTAATCTTAAACAATAAAAAATACGAGAAGTGAGTGGCGTAGATTTTTCCAATATTGTTAGCTGTGGTGCCCACTGAGACTCCACTGGACCTTATAACTCCAATCTAGTTAGGGCTAAATGAGCGTCTTATAACTTCAAACAACTGTAGCAAATTTCATCTGAATTGGTCTAAAGATATTTATGATATTTCATAAATACCATTTTTTTCAAACCTTAAATCGCTGTATCTCAGAAACGAAGCAAATCCGAACATATGTTCATAAAAAGTTTTTTTCTTAAAACAACCTATAACGAATCACCCTATGAAGTTTCGTACCGTAGTTAGGAAATACCCTGTATTCATTTGTTGAAAGCGAATTTGAAAGTGAAATAGCTTTGCGGGACCAGTCTATTGAATAGTTAAGATGAAATACAAAATACCTGGATTTCGAGAGCCTATCGAAATTTGAAATGATCTCGTATTTTTCAAAAATATCAGCAATCCTCACCTCGACGGCACTGTTTGCCGACGATAGACTTATCGGTCCGTTTCTGGCATGCCTTCGCTGACCAGTCAGCCCGTGTCCCGCTGGCTGGCTAAAAACTGACATTATGCCGGCAGCTGGCAGTGAGCCGAAGGTTTTGTTCCGGAGCATTGCCAGCAAATTTTTTGCCTACACTAGCCCATCAAAAGCAAGTTCAAGACTTTGTTAGTATGCCATTATTGAACCAGTTTACGATCCATTGGCAGATTCATCAAAAGACCGATAATGGCGGTCACTCCAAAATAATGGGACAATGATTTTTATCATTTCTATCACTTGGTGTGGACTGATATATTAGACTGATATATTGGACAGACATATTTGGTAAGGATGATTCAAAATATGAACCTGTATTGTTATACATAGTTGAATTTATTGATACAGTGGCTACAAGAAACTAGAGATCCGTATTTGAATAAATGAAGTTGATGATGAAATCTAATAAATAAAACGTCGCATTGCAGATTGGTTTATATCAGGCTGAAACAAATATGAAACAATCTTTCAAAAACACTTTCCCAACACCAGAACAAAAAATACTGTCTCTCAACGCACGTTTCGCTAACCAAGTA